CGCCGCCGCCGCCGGGACGGGACGCTGGCGCTGGGGGTAGGCGAGCCCGCTGCCCCGGTGACGGGCAGCAACACCGCCAAGATCTCGGGTTACAGGTGGTCAAGCATGCAGCGCTCCCTGCACCGGGTCTCCCTGGGCAGCCAGCGCGCCCACCCCAACCTGTCCTTCTACCTCTCCACCTTTGGTAAGTGTCTGGGGGGCCGGCTGCCGGGGTGGGGGGCGGGGGGCCGCCTCCCTCGGGGCCCAGATCGGCCAGCTCCCATGGTGACAGGCGGCAGGCAGGGAGCAGGTGCCTTTTCTACTTGGGACACTTCTCTGGACCCTCCCTCCTGCGATCCGGAAGGACGCCCTGCTTCCCCCCCCCCCCTCCGGGCGGGCCAGCCATCGGACACCACCTGTCGCCCGCCCCTGGTGCCAGGTGCACTTGGTTCTGCCTCACTTGGCTGAAATAATCACACCCCAGTTAATCGTTCAGAGACCACCAAGTTCCCCACTGGCCAACAGCTCACTAGTGGCAGCCTCTAGAGAGAACGTTCACTGGCTTTCCTTCGGTTCTGGTGGCTTCACCTCCTCATAGCTCACCTTGGAGGCTGTAACCCTGCTTCTCCATCAGGCATCTGACCAACAGATTAGGGGGTGGGGAGGATTCTCTCCACACAGATAGACCTTAGGAGAGTCTCAGGACTGTCTTCCCACTAAAGCTGAATAGTAAAAAGCCTCTAGATAGCGGGCTCCCCCAAAGGCCTGAGCAAAGCTGGCTTCAAGTAGCCACAGGTGACACCTCTTCTCCAGAGGGCAGCCCTGCACAGCCCGCCATTTCCTCATGGGTCCTGCAACTCCCTGTAGGGAGGAAGATCTCCCATGGGCTAGTAGCAGTCTTGGGACCCTAGCTCCAGCCTTCCCAGATGACCTGACCAGCAGAGTTTTGTTTTAATTGCATGCAATTTCCTTCGGAAGGTCCAGACAGTTACTGCAACACAACTGGACTTTGCCCAGCTTTCAAAGGCAGAGCACCCAAGGAGTGAGGCCATTGCTGGCCTTCTTGGCCTCCCTCCTCTCCAGCTCACTTCTGCTCAGCACTCGTGGCTTTTTACAACCTGCTGTTTTCTGCAGGGGCAGAAGGAGTGTTGGAAAAGCAGTGGGTTAGCTCCTGGAGATGGGCTGTGGTCTGGCATCCTAGCATTCACTGGTCTGGCTGGTGGAGGAGAATAAGTAGAACAATGAACTACTGATTTGTGACATTCTCACCAGGTGCCATGATTAGTGCTCTTGCTCCTACAGGGCAGTTCTGTTAACCCCAGTGAGATGTGGGGCTCTGAGAGACAAGGGAGTTGTCCAGAATCTGGGAATGATTAGGAAACAGTGAGCAGTGAGGCCTTGTTACTTTAGCTGTGTCCTGATTACAAAGTAAATAAGGTAAGGCTGGGGTGTAACTCAAAGTGTACAGTGTCTGCCTAGTAAGCACAAGGCCCTGAGTTCAAATGTCATATTCCCCCCTCCCCAAAGTAAACAATGTCAGTAATAGTTCATTTATTTATATGTATAATAATTATTAGTATGTATTCTCTCATCTTAACACAATTGAGATCAAATGCTATATAGGTTTATAACCCACTCCTTTTTCTTTCTAGCTGCTTGAATGGGCAGCTATGGGCCAAATGTAAAGGCAGGCAAGAGTGGGCAGGAGTGGGGACTGTCCTGTTCTTACATGGTTTCCCCTCCAGTCTTTCTGAGGACACTAGTCCATTAAACCACACAGATTGCCATTGGAATCCTCACATCTCAGCCTCCTGAGCAGCTAGGATTACAAGCATGAACCACCTGCACCTGGCTTTTTTTTTCTTTTGTTGCTTGTATATTTAATGTCATTTAATGTCAATCTATGTCAGATCTAAATCATAGAAGTGTTGTTTTTTCTAATTTTTTTTTTTTTTTTGCCAGTCATGGGGCTTGAACTCTGGGTCTGGGCGCTGTCCCTCAGCTCTTCAGCTCAAGGCTAGCGCTCTACCACTGGAGCCACAGCGCCACTTCCGGCTTTTTCTGTTTATGTGGTACTGAAGAATCAAACCCAGGGCCTCATGCTTGCAAGGCATGCACTCTACCACTGAGCTACCTTCCCAGCCCTCTAAAATATTTTAGTCCCTAATATATATGTATATACACACACACACACACACACACATATTGCTGTTGTTGTGGGGCTTGACTTCAGGGCATGTGCACTGTCCCTGAGTTTTTTACTCAAAGCTAGTACTCTACCACTTTGAGCCATAGCCACAGCAACATTCCTACTCTTTTTTTTTTTTTAACTCTAGGCTTGGGCACTGTCATTGTGTTCTTCAGCTCAAGGCGAGTGCTCTACCGCTTGAGCAACAGCGACACTTCCAGTTTTCTAGTGGTTTATTGGAGATAAGAGTCTCATGGACTTTCCTACCTGGGCTGGCTTTGAACCATGATCCTCAGATCTCAGCCTCCTGAGTAGCTAGGATTACAGGCGTGAGCCACCGGCGCCCAGTTTACATTCCTACTCTTAAATATTTGAATCTTTGATCCATTTGGAGTTAATTTTTGTGTAATAGTTCAGTTCTTTTTTCTTTTTCTTTTCTGTGTGTGTGGGGTGTGTGTGTGTGTGTGTGTGTGTGTGTGTGTGTGTGTGTGTGTGTGTGGTGTTAGGCATTGAACCCAGGGCCTTGCACAAACTAGGCAAATGCTCTACCACTTGGCTACATCTCCAGTACTCCAGTTTCATTCCCCTAATTATAAATACTAGTTGTTCCAGCACCATTTATTGAAAACACTGTCATGTTCCCATTGGATGATCTTAGTACCTTTATTAACAAGTAATTGATAATAGACTCATGGGTTTATTTCTGGACTCTCAATTCTATTCCATTGATTTGTTTTGCTTGTCCTTATGCCAGAACCACACTGTCTTGATTACTGTTGCTTTGTATTCAGGAAACATAAATCTTTCAATGTTGTTATTGTTTGTCAAAGTTATTTTGGCTTTTGTGCATCCCTTAATTTTCCCTATAAATTTTAGGCATATTTTATATAGTTCACAAAAATGTTGGATCAATATTTATAGAATATCTTCTTGAAAGGATTCAAACTTCTTGGCTTACCTGATAAGCCAAGTTATTAACCTACTTGGGGGGTCTATGAACTGAATTGTGAACCCGTCTGAGGTGGAGTAGACCAGAAGTAGGGAATGGCCAGGGGAGATAACAGAGTGTGTGGGCCAAGAGATGATGGACAGGCTGCAGGTAGCCGTGGGCATGGATGGCACACCTACTTCTCTTGAGAAATGTGTGCCCACAGTGAACCAGCAGGATGGAAACCATAGGAGACAGCTCTAAATACAGCATGTAGGGGCGTGTCTGGAGTTCCTGTGTCACCAAGAGATTTAGCTGTGAAGGTGGATTGTATCTGTGAATGGCACAGATTGGCTAAGCAAGGTTTTCCTTTCTCCATGTTTATTGGGGCACAACAGTGTTTACTGGGGCCTTCTTCCCTTTCTGCTTCTCTTTGGAAGCCACAGAAATGAACAATCTGTTTTCTGTAGTACGAATAAAGCTTGGGCACAGATGCCCACCAGCTGTTCCCTGTGATGGCCTGCAGTGTGTCTCTGCCAGCTGCCCATTAGTCCTTGTCTCCAGCCCTGCCGCTCTGAGCCTGGCAGGCTTGCCAGGCCTGGCTTGGAACACCCATCCATTTCTGAGGAACCCATCAGTTGTTGGTCAGAGTCTTCTCTGGGTTTTTCTGTCATTCTGAGTCCATCTGCTTGGGAGTTTTCAGAAATTCAACATTTCAGGCTTGTTGATAATTCCTTGTCTTCCCCTCCCTCCCCCAATCCCAGAGCTTAGGTTCTGGGTGCTGTCCCTTAGCTTCTTTGCAAAAGGTTGACAATCTACCATTTGAATCATAGCTCCAGTTCTGGCTTTTTAAAAAATTTAATATCAGGGGTTCCTTATTCAAACAGTTTAAGCACTATTTGCCAAATGATAGGGCAAAGCAAAAGTCAGAGAACAGCTGTGTGTCAGTGTATTTCTGTGTGCTTATGACCAAGAAAGCAAGGAAGTGGTCCATTACATTTTACAGCTAGTGTTTAATAGGTGTATGTTGGGACTGATAAGGAAAAAATAGACCTACCTCATCAGAAAAAATAGATAAAGGACATAAACAGGAAGTGCTCTCTCTCTTTTTCTCTCTCTCCTCTCTTTTTCCTTCCCTTTCTCCCTCTGTCCATTCCTCTAGCTCTTTCTCTCCCTTCTCTCTGTTTTTCTGACCCTCTCTGTCTCTGTCTCTTTGTCTGTCTCTGTTTCTGTCTCACATACATTCAGTAAACAGGAAATATATTCCTCCTCAAAAGTTGTTTCTTCCTAACTTCTTCCCTCTGACTTAAAGGTATTATATATGAGAACTTCAACAAATAAATTCAACTACAGTTCTGGCTTTTTTTGCTAGTTAATTGAATATGAGCCTCAAAGACTTTCCTGTCAGGCTGGCTTTGAACCATAATCCTTAGATCTCGGCTTCCTGAGTAGCTAGGATTACAGGTATGAGCCGCTGGTGCCCAGCTTGATAGCCAGTTTTTATAAAATCCCTGCATATTTGCAAAGAATTTTACAGTGGTAGGATGTGTCAAATGTAGCTTGCTGCTGAACACTGATGGCTCGTGCTTATAATCCTAGCTAGGAAGGTGGCTGAGATCAGAGGATCAAGGTTTGAAGCCAGCTCAGGAAGAAAAGTCCATGAGATTCTTATCTCCAGTTAATCACCAGAAAACTGGAAGTGGTGCTATGGCTCAAAGTGGTAGAGCACTAATCAGAGTGAAAAAGTTGAGGGACAGTGCTCAGGCTTGGAGTTCAAGCCTCATGGCAGATAGAAAAAAAAAAAAGTATCTTGCTAATTATGTTGTTCTAATAATCTGTTTCTTTGCTGATTTTCCCACACAATTATATCAGTTACTGATATAGGTGTGTTAAAATTCCTACTACAGGGGCTGGGAAGGTGGCTCAGTGGTAGAGTGCTTGCCTTGCATGCGTGAGGCCCTGGGTTTGATTCCTCAGCACCACATAAGCAGAAAAAGCTGGAAGTGGCACTGTGGCTCATGTGGTAAAGTGCTAGCCTTGGGCTGAAGAGCTGAGGGACAGTGCCCAGAGTTCATGCCCCATGACAGAC